CGCGCACAGACACGCACACACACTCTCACACACACACACACACACACACACACACACGCTCACACACACGCTCACACACACACACACGCACACACACACGCTCACACACATGCACACACACTCACGTCTGCCTGCTCTCTGCAGATCTGGATGAGTGCGTGGCCAACGGTCGCATCTGTAACAACGGCCGCTGCGTCAACACAGAGGGCAGCTTCCACTGCGTGTGCAACGCTGGCTTCGAGATAACAGCTGATGGAAGGAACTGCCAAGGTGACCCACAATGCACTGCAGTTTAGACACTGCAGACGGACATGAGCATGGGCCTTCGATAGTGACAGAATTAGATTAGACGGCATAACTTTCACACTGGTCTGCTTTTATATCTGCATTACCACTGATTGGACGCTAGGTGGTGCTGTGGAGTAATCGTCACTGCAGAAACGCAAAAATACTGATTGTTTCCAAACAGGTTTCACAGATACTCTGGTAAACTATCCTATTGCACACCTCTAAACTGATCAATGTGGACAGTTAGGCACTACGGTGGGTGGAGTCTGAGTGGGTGGGTGGAGTTTAACTGCATGGGTGGAGTCAGGGTGGGTGTGGTCTAATTTCAGGCGAGGTGTTTGAGTGAATGTAAATGACATGTTTGCAGGGTTCGCACAAGTGCTTGAATTTAGATTTTAGAAATATATGTTCTAGAACACCTGGAAAATCATCTTCAGATTAATCACATTCTCTAAAGGAAGAAGAATTCCCATACGGTACTTAGGTGTGGAATAATCAGTAGGCTATTATTTTTTCAGAAACTGGGTTTTTAAGCGTTCTCGTGTCATTACAGGGTGCTCAAGGCTGTATAATGTTGTATAATTTGTATAATAGGAATTATTACACAAGTATATTATATAGAAATTTATCTTTTACATTCTGTTCTTAGAGACCATTTCACACAAAATATGTTTTTTCGTTCCACTGTGCTACTTTTCTATTGTTTTTTATGTAAACATGTTTTTTTATATAAACGTTGGGCTCGTTTGAAAAACAGCGTTCAAGTTCAAATAAGTTGAACTTTTTAAAAACGTGTTTTTCCCCGTTCCACTGCCTGCGTCTTGTGTTTTTCAAAGCAAAAGCTTGTTCTGTGTGAACGGCCTCTTCGTCTGTATTCTTTTTGCATATTAAGTTCTGGTTAGATTTTTTCAAGAAGAATATAATAAGCAAAGAGAATGTTAGAAATAAAAAAGTAAATTAAGAAAAACATGTATTATATGCAAGTCCTTAAAAATATAGGTGCTAGAAAAAGTGCTGGATATTCATGAGGTGATGCCTGTATGAAGCCTGTTGAAGTGTTTTGGTGTTTTTCTGTGTTTCTGTGTGTGTGTGTGTGTGTTTTAGACACTGATGAGTGTTTGATAAGGAACATCTGTCTGAACGGCATGTGCATCAATGAAGACGGCAGCTTCAAGTGCATCTGCAAACCTGGATACTTGTTAGAGGGCACCGGACGATTCTGTGTGGGTAAGTGAACACACACACACACACACACACACTCACGCACACACACACACACAACTCTGTCATTTACTCTTCCTCGAGTTGTTCCAATCCTGTGTGAGTCTCTTTCTTCTGTTGAACACAAAAGAAGATATTTTGAAGAATGTTGGTAATCAAACAGTTGACGGTAGCCACTGACTTCCATAGTATTTTTCCATACTATAAAAAGTCAATGGGTACCGTCAACTGTTTGGTTACCAACATTCTGCAAAATGTCTTCATTTTCAGTGAACTATCCCTTAATGTTCATATAACTGATAAAAACATTTAAAAAACATTCAGAAATAAGAATATAAATTTGTGAGCTGGTCTGAACAGTCTTCTGTGAGGGTTTTGATCAGGTTTGAGGTGTTTTGTGATGTGTGCAGACGTGTGTGTAGCGTGTCGTGTGTGTTCTGTGTGTGTCAGATGTGGACGAGTGTGAGGTTCCCGGCATGTGTATGAATGGCCACTGCGTCAACACCGAGGGCTCGTTCCGCTGCGAGTGTATGCCGGGACTCGCCGTGGGGCTCGACGGACGCATCTGCGTGGGTGAGAGCAGCCGCACATACACACACACACACACACACACACACTGTTGTTCGCTGTCTCATTAAGAGTTTTGTTTGTTGTTCTGCGTGTTGAAATGGTGTTCTGCAGTCGTTTAGTCGATGGCTGTTTATCACGGCATGTTGTTGTTGAAATGCGATGCTGAGGAGACGCATCTGCGTGGGTGAGAGCACCCACACACACACACACACACACACACACACACTGTTGTTCGCTGTCTCATTAAGAGTTTTGTTTGTTGTTCTGCGTGTTGAAATGGTGTTCTGCAGTCGTTTAGTCGATGGCTGTTTATCACGGCATGTTGTTGTTGAAATGCGATGCTGAGGAGGTTTTGCTCTCCTGCAGACACACACATGCGAAGCACGTGTTACGGAGGATATAAGCGCGGTCAGTGTGTGCGACCGTTCTTCGGCGCTGTGACCAAATCCGAGTGCTGCTGCGCCAGTAACACACACGGGTGTAGCGTCCATCCAGCAGCAGCTCTCACACATCACTCCTCACCTCTGCTCGCCATGGAAACCATGACATCATGGATGACATCAGCACCTTTAGAGGTTCAGCGTGTCTGAGACTCAAACCTTACACACACACACACACACTGCAGCCGTGTTTAGAGTGCTCTGGCATCTGCAAACATGTTGTTAAATTGTGTCTTTATGTTCCAGCTGAGTTTTCGGCTCTCTGCAGTCACGGCCCAGGAACTACGACTGATGGCAGAGGTGCGGCCAAACACACACTTACACACATACATGTACAGAAGAGAACTGTGAAGAACATGTCCGGGTCATATTTCACCCCAAAATCAGAAGAAAAAAAAAAAAGAAAGAAAAAAAGAAATAACCTTTTTAAATTTTAAATATTTATATATACTGTATATATAAGTTGTATTATTGTTTTTAATATTATTATTATTATAGGTAAAAATTATAATACTTAAATAATAACATTGATGTAACCAATGGAATGAAATATGTATATATAAAATTATATGTATGTATATACTGTATGTATTAATATATAAAAATAAATATTAATATTAAAAATTAATAACTGAAAATTAAATATTACTTTATATGTATGTATATGTGTATAAATATATCAAATGAAATATGAATATATATATATATATATATATATATATATATATA